TTTCAAAAAAAAAAAAAATGTGTTTCTCATTTTCTTGTGAATCCTCACCAGCAGTACTTTTAACATCCATATTTCCACAAATTATGATAATTTAGGCATTCCCTAAGATGGTACAGGTTGTCTATCATTCTCTTCACTTTCTCCCGAGCCATCATAACACCCATATTTCTACTAACAGTCTATTCAAGACAATTTAGATTTTTTTCTAACAGGTTACTGAGAATTCTTTCAGCCTCTAACCGTTATCCAAATCCAAGTTACTTGCCTGATTTGAGTATTTGTTGCAGCACAGCTGTCATCATTTGGGCCTAGAACTTTCTTCTGATGACTGAACCCACTTATTCTCCAACCTTGCTTGTTTGGGGTGCCTTCCTTCTGAACTCCGGTCAAGACTAGACAAGAATAATAGTCCTGTTCTTGGCAATGTCCCCAATTCAGCCTTGAATCTGAAGGAAAAAGAGGGGCAGGGAGACGGATAGTTTCAGGTACCAAGATCTGTATTAGTTTCCTATTGCTGCTATAACGAATTGCTACACATGTAGTGACTTAAAACAGCATGAATTTATTCTCTTGTAGGCCAAAAGTTCAATTTATTCTCTTTTGAAGGCCAAAAGTTCCAAGTTCTTACTGGGCCAGAGTCAAACTATCAGCAAGGCTTGTTCCATCTGGAGCCTTAAGGGAAGAATGCTTCCTTAGCTTTTCAAGCTTCTAAAGTCTGTTGCATCCCCTATCTCATGGCCCCTTTCTGCACCTTCAAAACCAGTAGCATGGTATCTTCAAATGTCTCTCTGCTTTTGCCATCATGTCACCTTCTCTGTGTCTCTGATCCACTTGACTTCCTCTTATAAGGGCTCTTATGATTGTATTGAATTTATCCAGATAACCCAGTATAACTTCCCCATGTCAAGATCTTTAATCATATTCACAAAGCTCCTCTTACCGTGTAAAGTAGCATATGCATAGATTCCAGGGACTAGGACATAGACATCTTTGCAGCCTTGTTATTTAGCCTCTCACAACGGACAGTAAGCACAATAAGCATATGAGATGATGGTAAGTGTTCAAAACATTAATTGAGAGCACACTATAAAACACATTATTCTAAGACCTTTAAGTGCATAATCTCTCTTCAACCTCTAGCAACCAAGAATTCTGGCCAACAAAAGCTTTCGGCCAAGCTCAGTAATTCATGCCTGTAATTCCAGTACTTTGGGAGGCAGAGGCAAGAGGATTTCCTGAACCCAGGGGTTTGAGACGAGTCTGTGCAACTTGGCAAGACCTGGTCTCTACAATAAATACAATTTTTAAAAAATTAGCTAAGTGTGGTGACACACTCCTGTAGTTCCATCTACTTGGAAGGCTGAGGTGGAAGGATGGCCTGAGCCCAGCAGGTCGAGGCTATGGTGGCCGTGAGCATGTCACTGCACTCCTGCCTGGGCAACAGAGACTCCTACTCAAAAATAAATAAATAAATAAATAAATAAATAAATAAATAAATAAATAAAATAATAAGGAAGTATGGGAATCAATGATAGCTCAATGTTCAAGAGGAAAAAGTCTAAATGCCTTAGCATTGTGCTCAAGGACTTTTGAAGAAATGACCCTAACTTTTCTGTCGGATCTCCATCTGTACCCTGTTTGTCAGTCAAACTAAACTTTTTTTTTTCAGAGAAAACTCCATAGTCTTCCCTTATTCTGCTTTTGCTGAAGGCAATTAGTCCCATCTGAAATCTCTTTTTCCCCAATTCTATACATCAGCATCCTATTTCTTCTAGAACTTTATATAGTGGAATAATAGTTTATATTCTTTTACATCTGACTTCTTTCATTCAGCATAAGTTTCAGATTCATCATTGTGATAATTTGTTTCTTTGTATTGTTTCTTTGTATTCCATTGTATAACTATATTACAGTTTGTTAATCTATTCTCTTGTTGTATATTTGCATTATTTACAGTTTTGAGTTATGAATTAAGCGTCAACAAACATTTAATGTACCGATCTTGGGCTAGACCTATATTTTCATTTTTCCTTTGCCAAACACTAAGAGTGGAACATCTTTTTTGGTAAGGTATCTGTTCAACCAGATACCCATTTTAAATTGCAGTTGTTTTCTTATCATTTTTGAGTTTTAAGAATTTTTTCTATACTTTACATATAGGCCTCTCAGATACATGTATTACAAGTACATTCCAGTTTGTAGATTGCTCGTTTTCTTGGTGGTGTCTTTTGAAGAGTAGAATTTCTTAATTTTGGTGAAGTCCAGCATATCAATTTGTTATCTTATGGAAGTAGTTTTTGGTGTTATAACTAGAAATCTTTGTCCACAAGTCTTTATGCTTTTAGATTTTATATTATGTCCATGCTGTATTCTTGGTTAGCTTTTATGTATGGTATGAAGTTTATTATTTGTTTAGATATAGACTGAAACAGACAACTAGAAATAATTATGACATAACCAGGGAAATTTGAACTTTGACTAACTATTAAGTAATTGATGTTAATTACTTTAGTTATTAACCAACACCACATGTTTAAAAAGATTACCTTTATCCTCATTGAATTACCTTGGAATCTATTGAAAATCAATCAACCATATTTGTGTGGGCCTATTTGTGGACTCTTTTTACTACATTTATCTGTATTTCTATCCTCACACCAATACTATGCTGTCTTTATGTTTGTAGTTTTATAATAACTTTGGAAATCAAACAGTAGTATAGATTCTCCTGCTTTGTTTTTATTTCTTAAAATTGTTTTGGATATTCTAGATTTTTTTACATTTCCATATAAATTTTAAAATGTGCTTTTCAATTTCTATTTTTAAAAAAAACTTTGGGGACTTTCATTGAAATTGCATTGAATCTTAAAATCAATTTGGGAAGAATTGACATTGTAACAGTATTGTGTCTTCCAATCCATAAAAGTAGTATATCTTTCCAAGTAGTTAGGTCTTCTCTAAATTCTTTCAGCAGTGTTTTGTTGTTTGTAGTGTGCATCTTGAACATCACTTTTGATCTGAGTGCTGGTTATTTTGTGAAAATCCATGGAGTTACATTTTGTGTACTTTTGAGTATGTTTGTTTCATTTCCTTAATTATTGAGTTTAAGAATTTGAAATACCTACCTGAAAAGTTCAAAAAGTTTCTATTAGATAAAATCTCAAAAATATATAATAGTAGAAAGACTTTTATGACTCTTATATACCTTTTATTATTTATATTTTTTTCAGAGATAGGGTCTTGCTCTGTCACACACATACTGGAGTGCTGTGGTGCCATCATGTCCCACAACAACTTTGAACTCCTGGACTTAAGGGATTCTCCTGCCTCAGCTTCCCAAGTACCTAGGACTACAGGCTCATGCCATCATGCCCAGCTAATTTTTAAACATTTTTTTCATGAGTCAGGGTCTCACTCTGTCTCCCAGGCAGGAGTGCAGTGGCATGATCATGGCTGAATGCAGCCTCAACCTCCTGGGCTCAAGTGATCCTGCAACACCAGTTTCCCCAGTAGCTGGGACTACAAGCATGCACCATCATACCTAGCTTATTTTTATTTTTTTTTATTTGTAAAAATGAGGTCTTGCTATGTTGCCCAAGCTGTTGAGAACTCCTGGTTTCAAGCAATCCTTCTGCTTTGGCCTCCCAAAGGGCTGGGATTGCAGGCATGAGCCACCATACCTGGCCTCCCGAGGTATATCTTTTACCCAATAATAGTGAACATCAACTCAAGGTCACTCTTTATTTATCTGTACCCCAATTCAGTACTACTTTCCCCCTTCCTGAATTATTTCGAAGCTAATCTCAGACTTAATTTTACCTGAAATCTGTAAATATTTCAGTATGTATTTCTAAATACAAAGTATGCACCATCTTAAAACCACAATACCATTTTTGTAACTAAAGTAATTAACATCAATTACTTAATAGTTAGTCAAATTCAAATTTCCCTGGTTGTGTCATAATTATTTATAACTGTCTGTTTCAGTCTATATCTAAACAAGCACCATAAAATGCATTTTGTCTTCCTATCTTTTAATTTATATGTTTTCTTCCCTCTTTTTCTTTTCATTTGTTTGTTTTAGAAAGTGAATCATTTGTTTGCAAGGATTTTCTACAGTCTGAGTTTTACTGATTCCAATACCTGTAGTCAGTGCTGTGCTGGTAAATGCTTAATAATATTTTAGTTCGGGTGGAATGGGGTAAATGGGCTCTGCTTTGTAGTATTTTCTGGTTTCCTTGATGTAAATATGACCAACATAGCTGATTTCAAACTGCTAATATGCTGTCACTGAACACAGTTGGAAAAAGTAGCACAGTCCTTTTTTCCCAACTCCTTTTTTTTTTTTTTTTTTTTACTTGCTGGACACAGAGTTAGAAGAAGTTGCACACTATTATATAATATTTATCCTATTAATATAGATGAAAAAATAAATGTAAGTATACTCAAGAACATAGATAATCATAAAATATAGTAAAATTATTTAAAATGATGCATTTTGTCTGTTTATTATCTTTGCTTTTGATATATTTATTACATTTATAATTTAATTTTAAATAGCAATTATGTTTAACAAATGGTTTACAAGATTCCTGAAACTGTATCTGTTAAATATTGCCAGCCAGTTGCACTACATGACTGCCTGTAGTAGCATTCATTTACCATGCCCCTCTGTTCCCATATTTCCTGAAAGTTGAAGGTTTGCTCAGATTCAGATTCAGATTTTATATAGGCATGAATACTTCAGAGGTGGCTCTGTGTATTTCCTATTACATCACACATCAAAAGAGAGTCATGTTTTAAGTGTCTGTGACTTCTTCTAAAAGACTTCTTCCCTCAAAACAACCTCTCATGACAATAAATAAACAAAATGGAAAAAGGAATAACCCATGAGGGAAAGGAGAACGGAAGAGGAGACTTCAGCAAGAGATTTGGGGAGGGTAGAAAGGCAATGAGGAAGCAGTGGTCAGTGAAAACAGAAACCTAAGCTGGCTAGCAGAGAAGGGGAGTGTAACCTGAGAAGAAAGTTGTCTGATGCCATAGAACCCCTAAAAGGAAATGAAGTTGGAAGAACCAGCTACAGCCAAGATGGAGATGGGATGGCAGCGGGGCCAGGAATCAAAGAAATGGTTGGAAATCTAAGAAAGCCCTCCCTAATCCTGGGCAGCATCATCTCTCCCTCCACCTGTGTCATGGTAGGCAAGTCTGTGTAAACTATTCCCAAAGTCCAAGGGAGCTGAGAGGCTGAAGAAAGAGGCTGACAAATCCAGTTTCTTGAAAGAAACAGTTAATAGAGACTTACGAACAGAAGTCACGTCTGTGTCTCAGGCAGTAGTGAGATGAGATGGTGTATCATGGCACTTTTACTCCCCAGACCTAGGGCTTATGTACCATAGGGAAAGGGTGATTCATAAGGGATGTGTAGGACCTTTGAAGTTTGATAACATCAAGGTTGTTTGGCTTAAGGGCAAGGTTTTTTTTTTGTTGTTGTTTTGTTTTTGAGTTGGAGTCTCACTCTGTCACCCAGACTGGGGCTCTGGCTGCCTCAGCCTTCCAAGTAGCTGGAACTACACCCGGCTGATTTTTTGATTTTGTTGTAGAGATGAGGTCTTGCCAAGTTGCCCAGGCGGGTCTCAAACCCGTGGGCTCAGGCAGTCCACTCACCTCAGCCTCCCAAATCGCGGGATTACAGGCTGAGCCACCGAGCCGAGCTAAGGGCAAGGTTTATGTAAGTACCTGCTCTTATGCAAGGAACAATAGATACACAAGAAATCTTAGAGGCTGTCCCAGAACTAGTTAATCAGAAGCCAACACAGCAGATTAGCATCCAAGATGGAGTTGCTTTAGCCTCCACACCTCTCCAGTAGAAAACTGGAACTTACTTCCTGGAGATGCTTGACCAAAGGGACTTTGGATTGTGGAGTACCAGGTGTTACTGAAGCCAGAACATCAACTGAAAATGTGAGAGGGAAGAGATAGGTAAAAAATCTTTATACTGAATAGTGAAATTCCCCCAATCTCCTTTCCCCTTTCCCATCTCTATTCCTCATTACTGGCATTCAGGTTTATATCCTTCCAGGTAGAAAACTGGAATATTCCTTATTGAGAAAACTGTCCAAGAGAAAATGGCAGGACTCTCCTAATGGAAGAGTGCAGTGTTTTCATCCTGCAGGGCAACCCACCACTTGACAAACCCTGACCATGTGCATTGAGCTTGCTTCTAATTAGTGTCTTATGTTTATATTATGTTCATAAAAACAGCCAGTCAAGGGTCATCAGCTATTTGAGAAAATAGTCTCATATTAAAGCCAGTTGCCAAAATGGAATTGGATAGAAAGGCACTAAAAGGAAACAGTTGACAGATGAAAAATGAAAAACCTACATCAGCAATAATAGTCTCAGAAATATTCATGAAACAGCAACAGAAGACTATATTACCAAAAAAAAAGAGCTCTGAAATTTTAAAACAAAAAGATTACATAGATAAGTTGGAAGACGATAAATTTATACTCAAAGAAGTATAAGAAAAAGACAAAAATAGAAGAGAATAATATAAGAAAGCTAGAGAACAAGAAGTCATTGCTACATGAAAAATAGAAATTTCAGAAACAGAAAACAGAGGAATTAGGAGAAGAAATTACCCCCAAAATCGGGACATTTCCAGCATTTAAAGATATGCCCCATTAAAAAGTGGGCAAAAGACATGAATAAACACTTCTCAAAAGAAGATAAATGGGCGACCAACAGACACATGAAAAAGTGCTCAGTCTCACTCATCAAAACCACATTGAGATACCACCTAACCCCTGTAAGAATGGCTATCATTAATAAAACAAACGACAACAGATGCTGGTGAGGATGCAGAGAAAAAGGAACACTTCTACACTACTGGTGGGAATGCAAACTAGTGCAAACTCTTTGGATGACAGTGTGGCGATTTCTGAAAGAACTAGTAATTGACCTTCCATATGACCCAGTAATTCCCTTATTGGGAATATACCCAGAGGAACTCAAATCATTCTACAAAAAAGAGACCTGCACACATATGTTTGTTGCAGTTCTATTCACAATAGCAAAAACCTGGAACTAACCTTGTTGCCCATTGAGGCTGGACTGGATTTTAAAAAGGTGGAATATTATGCAGCCATAAAAAAGGACAAACATATGAACTTCGCAGCAACTTGGGTGGATTTAGAGTCGATCATACTCAGTGGTTTATCACAGAAACAAAGAACAGAGTACCAAATCTTCTCACTCACCAGTGGACCTTGAACAATTATAATACTATAAGAAAGTGATTGGCAGTAGTGGGAAACTGTCAGAGGAGGGGAGGGTGGGATTGGCAGTTGAGAGAAACTGCTAGGGGAGGGAGGGGCATACCTCATCAACAAGGGTACCTGCATCATCAACGTTTGTATACCTAACCCTGAATTGTACCCCACATCTTTTTTAAAAAAAATAAATAAATAAAAATATGCATTTTCAGATTAAAACGTCTCATTGGCTAATTTGCACAGAGACTAAAAACTACTCCTCCCTAAGTTTATCTCTGAAATTTCATACTCCTGAGGATGAAAATAAATTCTAAAAACTTCCAGAGGAGAAGAACAGGTTGAATAAACAGGGTAAGGAAAATGACTTCAGATTTCTCAATAGCAACATGGAGGACAATGGAGCACTGTCTTCGAGTATCTGAAGCGAACCAATTTCCTATTTAAAATTCTGCCTAACCAAATTCTCAGTCAAGTATGAGGGTAGACTAATGACTTTTGAATTATTATGCGCAAATCTCAAAAAGTTTAGCCCCTATATATCTTCTTTTTTTTTTTTTAGTTGGAGTCTCACTCCGTCACCCAGACTGGAGTGCAGTGGCCGCTCCCGGCCACCGCAGCCTCGACCTGCTGGGCTCCGGCGATCCTTCCGCCTCAGTCTTCCAAGTAGCTGGAACTACAGGCGCGCGCTACCACACCCAGCTCATTTTTTAAAAATTTATTGTAGAGATGAGGTCTCATCAAGTTGCCCAAGTGGGTCTCGAACCCGCGGGCTCAGGCAATCCACTCACCTCAGCCTCCCAAGGCATGGGATTACAGGCTGAGCCACTGAGCCCGGCTCTTATATATCTTCTTGAGAAGCTTTTGGAAGATGTGCTCCATAAAACTAGGAAGAGGAGGACGCAAGATCTAGGAAATAGGGCATCCCACACAGGAGCGATGAAAGGGAGGTACCAGGACGACAGCTATGCAGAAAGTAGTGAGAACCACAAGCTCTGATTAGGACAAAAACTGAACAGCTCCAGAAGGATGTTTTCCTGAAACAAGCCTCCCCTCCCCACCCTACAAAAAAAGAAGAAAGAAATCTTACACCCCATCCCAGAAATGTTGACTGAAACTTTTGAATGCATTGAGACATTTACATGTCTTACAGAGTTTGACCATAAGTGTATATAAAATACCAAGCAAGTGAACATGTAAGTGGTAGGTAAGGGGGAGACAGTTATTACCACTAAGGTAAATAAGAGGTTTACAACAAAGGAAATGCTGTAAGCTCAGCCATGAATAATAAGAGATCATGATAATGTAAATACCAATAATTGACTTAAAACTGTAATATAACCATACTGGGTGAATAAGGGTACAAAATGATGGATTCCTGGGAGTGAGCTTAAAGCTAGAATCTCATTTTCCATACTAGGAAATCAACACCTAAAGCAGAAACATCAAGAAACAGCATAGAGGCATATTATTTAGAAGTGTGGAAGTAAACACCAGAAACCAATTATTGAAAGAATAGAAAACGTTTCCCTGGAAAGTGGATTGACTTAAGGAGAACCTAGACAGGAGAATGTGGATTTGCGTTATAGAAAAAAGAGATTCAAATAAAATGTTATGGAACACTCCACCCCTCCATGTTTATCAAGTGCTTGCCAGTCACTCAGAGTTCACAGCAGTCATTACCACAAGAATTGAGGACTTGGCCCTCCACGTGGAATTCTATTAATCCTGGCTCTCTTCAGCTGATTGTGTCCAGGATTTTGCATCTATCAGGAAGGGAGATTGTGACCTCAGTGACATCTGGCCCTTGATATCCTTGGGGATTTGTTCCAAGACCCCCCTGGTTGCCAAAATCCACAGATGCTTAAGTCCCTTATATAAAATGGCCTGATACTTGCATATAACTTATGTTCATTCTCCCATCTATTTTAAGTCATTTCTAGATTCCTTATAATACCTAATGCAATGTAAATACTATCTAAGTACCTGTTGTGTTGCTTAGGGGTTAGTGACAAGATAATGGCAGCCATCCATTCCCGCCCCCCCCCCCCGCCCCCAAATGTTTCCCATTCACGATTGGTTGAATCAGTGGCTGCAGAATCTATGAATCCTGAGTTCACTCATTTGTAAGATTGAGATAATTATAAACCTAGCAAGGAGGGATGCTGTGAAAGGTAAGTTAACATTACGCTTGCAGAGTGTTTGGCACATAGTAACAACTCAGTAAATATTAGTTGTGGTTACTATTTCCTGGGAACAGACCAAAGTCTCCTATCATCGGCCAGTGGGAGAGGGTGTCTGTCAAAGTTACAGTCGGAGTCAGAAAAGTCTTTCTTCTGATGGCTGAACTCTCCCGCCTGCTCCGGCTTCGCTCCTTCTTGGGGCGCCCTCCTCGAGGACTCCGGCCGGCATTAGCCTGGGCCGAGGTAGTCCTGTCCCGCGCGATGTCCCAAGCCCAGCCTTGCAAGGGAAGAAGAAAGAGGAACGGACAACCGCGAGGCGCGAGGGCGAGAGGGGTGCCCGGCCTCCGCTCGGAGCGCCGCCTCGGTGGGAGGGCAGGGCGTGAGCAGGGAGGCACGAGGCTGCGGGGGCCAAAGTCCCCTCGATGGCAGCCCGGGCGCGCGCGCTGTCGCGGTGGCCGCGGGCCCCGATGCCGTTCCAGTTCCTGCTCCTGCTGGCGGCCGGCGGGGCGCGCGCGCGGTGGCGCGGGGAGGGCACCAGCCCGCACCTGCGCGACATCTTCCTGGGCCGCTGCGCCGAGTACCGCGCGCTGCTGAGCCCCGAGCTGCGGTGAGCGCCGAGGCGGGGCGGCAGGGGGACGTGGGGAGAGCGGAGAGCGGGGCCTCAAGGCCCGGGGGGTGGAGAGCGGGTGCTGGGGCGGGCGAGGTCTGGACGTGGGAGGTGGACGTGGGGAGGGCGAGGGTCGGAGAGGACGTGGGGGCCATGTGTGGAGGGTGCGGGTCTGGGGGGGCTACAGGAAGCGGGAGTCTGCAGGTGAGGGGTGCACTGTGCGGGGCCTGGAGGTGAGGGGTGTGTGTGTGTGTGTGTGTGTGTGTGTGTAGGAGGCTGGGGGGCGTTCGGTCTAGGGGGGAGTTGGGTAGAGGTCACTTTGAATGCCAGCCTGTTGCCAGCCAAAGTATGATAGTGTGGTTATTCGGATCCCTCAGCCCCCAGAATGTGGTCTCCAGCTGGAATTCCTTGAGTCCAGGTCCTTCGGGAATTCACATGTCAGATCTTCTAATCTAGAGAACTTTTAAAGTTCGGGTCTTTCTTGTCAACACTGCCATTCTTACTGATTTTTTGTTCCTTCTTTGGACTCACTTTTCCCCGGTTTTCGTAATGCCTCATCCCTGTGTCATTTGTTTTCATTGTGTCACATTTCAGGCAAGTAAGAGAGAGCAGAGAATAATGAAAGGCGCACCCACGGGGAAATAAAAATATTTCCGTGAAAGCTAGTGTGGACTTCAAGAGTGGGACTGGCACGATAGGGCATCCAGTCTGCCTTACCACAAGGTGGAAGCTTTTCACAACAGTGGGCACTTCCTCCTGGTTTCACAACTCCTGCCTGCCAGTCTGATCTCACTTGTTTCCCAAGCTGCTGGAGAAACCCAGTCGATGGGACTGGCCTCACTCTCATGTCTAAATGAAGAGGCACCCGAAGCTATGCGACTGGAGGGGCTAAGGTCCCCTTATTGGCCTTGTCAACAAGGTTTATTGGAATTGTCAACTTCTAGCTTGGTGCCTTTTCTGCTTGTCTCAGAACCTGGGGGGAGATATATATAATCTCTCTTTTTTTAGTCTTACTCTACTGCCCAGGATGGAGTGCAGTGGCATGGTCACTGCTCACCAGAGCCTCCTGGGCTCAGGTGAGCCTTCCACCTAAGTCCCTCCCCCCACATCAGTGACTGGGACTTCAGGTGTGTGCCATTACACCTGGCTAATTTTTTTTTTTTTTTTTTTTT